TGTTTTAAAGGGATTAGGATTAAATTACCACTACTAAGATAATATTAGTTTAGGGGGTTGGCAGGCAGGACAGTACCAGGTTATTTAAAAAGAATTTGAGCTTGTAACTGCAGCTACATGAGATACTTCTCCAACGGATGTCCAAAATATGCAAAGGAGTGTGGTGAGAGAGGTTTTAATATGTTGATGCCTCAAACATTTAATCTAGTTTGGCCATAGCCGAAGGCTGTATGAAGCCAGGATTAGACAGAATTAATAGATCAGCAGACTTTTAAAAATGAGAAATTTTAAATTATAAAACTGCTAATGGTATGTGGTTGGCATAGAAAATTTGAAAAATGAAAACAAACCATAAACCTTTACACTGGACATAATAAAACATGGTCTATAATCCCATCATCTTGGAAAGCTCACTGTTAACATTTAAACACGTTTATTTTAAATAAAACTTTCACTTATATATGTATAGAAAATGTATTTTTGTATAATGCTAAACTGTATTACATGTCCAATTTAAAAAATTATTTTAAAACAATGTATCATTAACATTATTGTTAAATATTTTTGTAATACATTTTGAAAAATTAAGCAATGTGCTATCAAATGGACTGGTGTCCCATAATTTAATAATGTCCTTATCAGCAACTTAAGGTCCTAGGTTTAAATGCTAATATGTTGTGTTGTGTAAGATTTCTAATTTTTTAAAATTAATTATTTGTTTATTTCTTTATGGTAGAGACGAGGTCTCTCTATGTTGCCTAGGCTGGTAGCAAACTCCTGGGCTTGTGTGATCCTCCTACTTGGGCCTCACAAAGTTCTGGGATTACAGGTGTGAGCCACCACACCCAGGCATAGGATTTCTAATTTTAGAAATGGGCCTAGAGTGAAGACAGTTGAGGTAACTACAACTGTTGTTAAAATTGTGGAAATGAGAATGTTCAGTGTATACTTAAGAAGCAATTAATAGATCTGTTTTGGCTGTGATCTGTAAGCTTTTGCAGGAATTGTTGCTCCTGGACTGGGGCAGATCCAATGAGCCTTACATAAGTTCAGGCGTTTAGGGCATGGGGAGGCACTGCAGTATGTGCATAGCGCTGAGACATATTCAGAGCAGTGATTCAGGACAATTCCCCTGAAAGGAGAGTGTGGGTGTAGATTGGAAGGGGAATTGTGAGGGGGAAGAGACAAGAGAGCAGGTTATTTTAACAGTGAAATGCAAGATAATGAGGGTTGGAACCTGGGTGTTGGCTGTAGGAAGAAAAAGGAAAAGACAGAGAGAATGGTTCCTTAGCATTTGCTATAGTGTTCTTTGCTTAATGCAAATTAAATACATTTAGGGGATACTCAGCATGGATATTACTAGCCATTTTCTTACAGAGTGCTGCTAAAACTAGAAAGTGCAATACAATGGCACTGCTAAAATGAAACTGTTTTCCTTTAATAATGCTGAAGTCTCATTATACGAAATAAGTCAATGTAGTTACAATTCCAATAGTTCAGAATGACCTGCTGAAGGTTTCTTACCTGTTTTTTTTTTTTTTATTTTTTCACATTTCAGAGACTGTTTGATAGACCTAGGGTTTTAAATAATCCGTACTGTTGTTTCTATATAAATAATAGATCAATTGTTTGCAGTTGATGTTTTGCTAGTTCTGTTTTCCTGTTTAATGACTGCCTGAGTGTTTCCAGGCATGTGGTGATTTAAATTCTTTATTAAGATGGGTAAAAGCATTGAATGTTTTTCTGTTTGTTTTGAGATAATGCTTATCAAAAATTGTTTCTAGAACCACAAGTGTTTTAGAGAAGAAAAATATTATAATACTGTGGGAGAACGCCTGGGGTTAGATTCGAGAATGTCATGTTTTAAGGCTAACTCTGCCACCATTCCTTCTTAGGCAAGGCACTTAACCTCCCTGTCCTGAGTTTCTGTACCTCTATAGCTCCTTCTACTAGTTCAGAACCATAGCTGTCACTGTTTTGCTACTCTTACTGTTAGGGTTACCAGTGGCAGAGATCTGAATGACCCTAAGTTACCAGCAGTGGATTCATACCAGTCTGCAGCAACTTCAGTTCTTGCCTTCTCAGAAGAAAGAATTTGACTGAGGGGCATAAAGCAGACAAGAGATCAAGGCAAGTTTCAGAGCAGGAGTAAAAGTTTATTAGAAAGGCTTTAGAACAAGAAAGAACCCTTGGAAGAAATTTAAGTGGATGCCTGAAAGTCAAAGAGAGAAAAAGAAAGGCTTTTAACCTTGATCCTGGGATGCTATAGGCTCGCCTCTTTCCCATGATTCTTTCCTTAGGGTGGGCTTTCTGAATGCGTGATGCCTTCCTTACTCTTGGGAATTGAGCATGCTCAGTGTGTTTAGGGAGTTATATGCCTGCCCATGCCCATCTGAGGTTTTCTTCCTTTTTCTAGTGGAGTGTACCAGGTCGATCATACTGTAATTTTTGTCTCTTAATGTGCATGTACAGGAAGTTGCTTCTCCCTGGGCCCTGCCTTTAATTAACACTTTAATGTTAAAAGGTGTGGACCATCAGGGAATGGCCCCTCCCTGGTGCCAGCTGCCAATTGATCAGGGTTAGAGAGGCAATATGATAATTGCCTAATCATCACCCGACATTTCTGGTGGGTTGTGGGAAGAGCCCTCTCCTGTTCCCCTCATGACTGTAACTACCTGTAACATTGCTACTAATTATGTACCTCCCACCTTCTTTTATTTGGTGGCCAGATACATTCTTTATAGGGGCTTTACACTTATTACTTTCAACCTCTATGTCAACCTCATAAGATAGGAAAAATTATTTCTATTTTACTGATGAGAAGATCAAAATGCAGAGAAATTAAACAGCTTTCTCAAGGAAAGTGGTAATTCTGGAAGTTAAACCCATGTCTGTCCACATTGCCCTGGTAAAACTCTAAAAGGAGTCAGTTGAATCTACTCTTGCTATCAAAGAGCTGAGAGAATCTAAAATCTTACGGCGTTCAGGGTGGAGGAGCAGAAACCCCTTTCTCTTTTGGTTTTGTAGGTGGGAAAAGACAGCCTCATCTTCTTCGTGGTATCTGGGCTGTGGTGTTTAGCTTTTCTACCAAGTCTTCAGATCTTTCGGATCCAATTCTGTATTTAAATTCCTTATTAACATTCAGTCTTAAAGATGGAAATGAGAATTTGGGCCTTCACAAATGCTCGTGAATTACACCAATTCTGAATGTAATTTCTTCCCATGGTACTATTTTAATATAGGTGACCTCTAATTTGCCTGAGTACCAGTCTAGACTGTATGTTTCTTGAACAGAGGCATCCTGTTTGTCTTGATTTCTATTTTATCCCTCAATAAGTATTTGCTGAATACACTGTTTTTAATAAATACAGAATATAGACTTTTGAGCTGGACATTTTATAAATATGTTTGGTTAAACTTAAACAATTTTGCTATCAAACTATTGTCTCCCAAACTAGAATAGAAATGCATCAAAGAGGTAAACAGCTAAAAAATATTTGAAATGCAATGAAATTTTTATTAGCGTTTTATAGAAATTAGTTTAAAATGCTGTTAGGCAAATGTATATTGAACGCAATTGACAAGAAATCTAAGTTTTGATTCTTAAAGTTTTAAATACCTAAACACATCTGTAGATGTAGCTGTGGGGACACTTTTATGAGACAAGAATATTTGTGCAGTAAAATTAATGTATACCACTTGATGTGTTTGAAGATAAGTATACTTGTAAAGAAGTATTTTCCATGTATAAGAAAATGTATAATTTCATAAGTCAGGTGGCATTTGAATAACTACCTTTGAAAAGTAAAATAAACAACTTTTTAAAGATTCAGGACCAAAATTTGAGCGAAAAAAGTGAGAGAATCTTCTAAGGTCTATTTATATTCCCTTCTTTAATACTAATTTTCCTGCACTTCCTTTTAAAACACATGATTTAAAAAAGTCGACCCTTTTAATTTAATTCTTTTTCCAGTTTAGAGTACAATTAAAAACCATTCTTGGTGTAATCCAAGGCCCTGCTTTAATAAATATATAATCACTACATCATGAAGCCAGAATAGCAATGCAATCTCTGAACTTAAAATGACACAGAAAATTGAGTTTATTGATATGTATTTTGTTGCATGTCAATCATACCTCAATAAAAAAAAATAAAGTCTCACAGACTGGAAAAAAATAAGTAATACTATTAAAGAAAAAGCAACGGGGACTTAATTATGTTGATTAAGACAGACATACAGCTTCTACTTGTACATATTCTGCATTGGGGTTGTGCTCCTTGTGCTAAGTAATCTAGCTCATATGTTCTGTATAAAATTGTAACATGTAGGTCATTTTTATAAAAAGTGTATGTACACGGAATGATATAAATTTGATCATTATAGCAAAGAATCTAAAAGAACAAATTTAATATGCTCATTACTACTCAAGATTTTTAAGCAGATATTTTCACACTATAGTAAATATAGTACTTTAGTAAATGAAAGTTTATTTGCAATTTACAAATGTATTCTTTGCATCTTTGTTTTCTCTTTCCATCACTAATCTACACTTAAATGTGCTACCACCTCTAATGGGCTTAAAAATAATTATGAGCTATTTTTTCATGTGGTTATGTAGCTAGAAAGTCTCATTCACTGGACGTCTAAAGCAAAAAATCTTTTAACACATTTTTTCTGAGTATACATATATTTTTGGCTAATGCTGTTAGTTTGGGTGATAGAATTAAATCTCGATTACATATTTTATATATATTTAAATTAAATATTTTAACTGCTCTATTGTAGACATGTACTGATGTGAGAAACTGAATTATATTTATAGTTTCCTGCCAGGTATTTGGTTCTTTGTTGTTTAATATACAACAAAGAAAAGGGAAAAACAAGCAGCAGAAAATGAACATCAGAAAATCACTCCAAATGATGCTTAAACACAGAGGACAATTGGCCCAAGAGAAAATACCGCTTCCTAATTGCATTTCTTTTTCTCCTTCTCTACAGCCAACCAGTGCTCTCTTTTCCCCAAGACTCCACATAAAGCATTTTTATTAGAGATAGTGATATTTAGTCAACCTAATGATGCCATCAGTTTGGCCAGATACCAAAATCAATGCCCTAGCTATTTGTCCGGCATCTGTGCTGCTGAAGACAGGGCTTTCTGTTGACTCCATAAATTAAAGATCAAGTAGCAACAAGGAAGGCTGGAGAAGCTGATTCCCAGGAAAACAATGAAGCAAAGGTAGTTTTGTTTGCCTTTTTTTACTCCTGCTGTAGTGGTGAAAGATTTCTGAGGCATCATCACTCATTTCCTTTGTGCCAAATCCACTCAGAGGCAGTGCTCCCATGACCACGTATGACCATTAATGATCAGTCCCTTCTAAGTTCCTCTTACATGGTGTGTTGGTATATTTTAACATATTATTTGGGGGATTTGTTGCCATTACTTTTGTATTTTATTAATACCTTCTTCCATGATAATATTCTTGTGAGAGTGATCTATGCTGGATGCCACATGACATTAACAATGCGATGAAGATGTGCTGATTTCCTGTTGTGTACCAGGTGATTATTTTGTATTGTTTAATTTCTGCTGTTGCACAGTAATTAATTAATTGTTTTCCACATTATTTTTAAGGTGAGATAGTTGAAGCTACTGACTTGTAAACAGAGAAGTGTTAAGTCAAATGCAGGTCTTCACAGTGCCAAAAGTATGGTTTTCCCATTGCACGCTCTGACACTCGAAATACTATATTTTTCAGTGCTTAACTAGTGAACAAGAAGAACACAAGAACTGCATCATAGAGGTAATTTCTCTTAGGTATAATAAAGTAACACACTGTTTCTGTAGCTCCAGAGCCACCATGAGTTTGAAGGAATAAAATCTATTTGGAAAATTACTCACCATTCTCATTCACTTCCTCTTTAGTTCGGAGATTTTGGAAATAAACCCATTAAATTTTGTATTTCTTGATGGCAGGAACTAAATTTTATTTATTGATGCATTTTCAGAGCCTAATATGTTGACTGACAGGAATATCGAAAAAGTTCAATAAATATGTGAGAGTAAATAAATGAATATCTCATGCTTACTGCGCCTCTTGACTTTAGCATGCCCCTACTGGTTCATTTTGATGGTGAAGACTTGGCCTAATTGTTGTGAAGGTGGAAAGGAGAGATGTTCTTGAATAAGGATTGTTTTCAGCTGTGCTGGATCTCACAGGCTAACTTTGATGAGTCAGAAGGGGTTCCTAGACAGCTTCTTGAGTTGGATTTGATAACTACATCCATGTATTTGAAAACCGCATTGATTGATTAGTAAGATCTGCTTCACTGAATCACTGTTAGTTGCAGATATTAATTTATCATCTCTGCCTACATCTGTGGACAATGTAAGGTAACAGATAGAACTGGGATATTTTCGAAATTCTGTAGATAACACTGGCAATTTCTCAGAATATGAATTACTATGACACATTTTCCTGTTCTGAACAAAAAAATTAGTATTGCCAGAAAAACATATTCAGTATCAACATTTCTACCTGGTGACAAAACTGAGGCCGGAATAGTTTAGTCATTGTCCTGATTCCTTTTAGTTCTTTAAATATGTTGAGTCTGCTTCTAGACCTTTTTCAGTCCCTGAGTGATTATGGCTATGGAGTAATAATGCATCATTAGTATGCTATGGTTAGCTCATCTGATGTGTTACTTGAAAGATCCAGGGAAGAACAGCCCCATAAGCAGATTGGCTTTAATTATTAGAGGGAAAGATACACTAGTGCCAAGGTGTTCCTGTTGGCACCAGCGTTGATATTTCGCAAAATTTTAATTTGCATTCTTAATTTTGAGTCTCTTATTCAGTTCAACATTTGGCAATGCCCCTGTTATTTTCATATACTCTCCTTGGGGCAAATCTTATATTCATCATGATCCTACATCTGTTTTTCAACCTTCTCTTCTCCCTTGGTATTTTCATTCTATTGCACAATAAATTCAGTCTGAGTTCTGTCCATCCTTGCAGACATGTGCTTGCCCTTCAGAAGCCAGATCCTTCCTCTGTGCCACAGTGTAGAAGTGTAAAATGTAGCAAAGAAAAATGTTTTTCTCTAACACTCTTTACTGAGTGCCGTGCTAATGCCATTTGTTCATGTTTTAGTTTCAAATTGTTTCCGGAAGAAATAAAAGCTTTTTCTCATCTACTGAGTTCATCTGAAAAGAAATGAATTGTATAAAAGAAATTAAACCTGGATGCAGTGGCTCACTTCTGTAGTCCCAGTACTTTGGGAAGCAGAGACAGGAGGAGGCAAGGAGGTTGAGGCTGCAGTGACCCATGATCACCCCACTACACTCCAGCCTGGGTGAGAGAGTGAGACCTCATCTCAAAAGGAAAAGAAAAGAGAACATAATCATGGAAAAATCAGAGTTGCTAAAGCCAGAAAGGATCATCAAATTCAAGTAAAACTTTCCTATACTAGATGATTATAGTCGTATAATTAAAACACTGAAATTACAGAAAGTCCACCATATTCTCGTTCCTTATCATCATATTTAATTCTTCTATTCCTATGCTTATTTTTAAGCAGGTTTATTATGACACAGTCTTAAATGTATTTGTAAACATACTCAGGGTAGGGAAAGCAGAGATAAAGGGGAAGAGAAGGAAAAAGAAGAAAGTTTCTTTTCTGTTTTGAAATAATCAAATTTATTTTTTATTTGTGGATAAAAAGACTCTAAGCTCAGGATCGGGTTAAAGGAATGATCATCACTAATGATAACCAAGGCAGGATTAACGAGTAAGACAAGATGATTGAGACTTTCCAAGAAAAACACAATATATTTATTTTTTGTAGCAAGAGATCAGACCAAGAGGAATAGACTGAAGGAATCTGTACCAGTCAACGCTCTAAACTTGAATTTGACTTACTAGTTAGAATTAATTACTAAGAATGAAAAGAGAGCCCTTTAAGCTGGAAACAGGCTGAATTACCTTTAGAGGAAAATTGCTTTTGCAACATACTTTTTTCATCAATATCTGAATTTATTGTATAGTGTGATGCTGAGGACAGCTTGTAACATGGAAGAAAGACTCCATTTGTTACTGTCACACTGAGCAGAAAGACGTGGTTAAATTACTTGAAAGTAATTTTAACACCTTTTCCTCAAACACTTGAGCCAAGAAGATATTAATCAAACTGCTTAGAAAGGCACCATATGAATTGAGGATTTTAAAAAGGAATATTTTCTTTTTAAAATATGGAGGTGTTATTTTGTTCTTCATGCAAATGTTAATGAGCTGTTTTATATTTTATGTGATAAACTCAGCATCTTTTTGTGGTATTTGAAATGACATCTTCATGGAAATTTCAGAAGTGCTTAATTATAGGATGTGGAGTATAGTGCATGCTATGCCAATAGAATATTGTTTATTGCAGGCATACAAAATATATGTCAGTTGAAAGAATTTCCAAACTACAAAATAAACCTCAGCTCTCATCTGGCAGGCAATAGAGTTTGTGTTTTAGCATGTTCTCATCAATGTTATTTTTAGCTACTTCTAAAGAGTTTTCAATACCAGCAGTTGGGCAAGAAGTCAAAAGTACTTATTTTTTTTAAAAAAATAATGATTTTAATCAAAGACATAAAAAGAATATCAAAAATATAAGTAAATAAGGCAGGAAGAAGTATATGTGAAGGGTTAGGGTAAGGAAGTTTGATTACAGTGGGAGAGAAATAATATATTTGGACACTTCTTTTCCTGGAATAAACACAGCTTTTCAGCGTTTATTCCAGGGAAACGTCGGCAGTGGGAAAAGAAAGGGCTCTGGTGATTAACAAGACTGCCTCTCACTGAGCCCTGGGCTCATTGACCAAGATGCAATTTCCACATCCAACTTATTTTTTAAAGATCAGTTGGGTACCAGCAGCAAATAGCCAAGAGCAGGATGCTGCCTAGTCAGAGGAAGAGAGAAGTTTCTGCATTCCTTGAGGAGAATTTAAGAATTGCTCTTCTCACCTTATTCTGTGTAAGGCAAAGAGAAAGTGATATTTTGATCTTTGTCACATAACCTCAGTTTCAGACACTTAAAGAGGCCTCCTTTTGCCTACCCAGGAAATTCCAGCTCTTTTTGTAAGTTCCAGAACCACCTCCCATTGACTTTGTAATTGCAAATTGAATAGGAAACCAACCTTTCAAGTGCTCTACTCATTCATTTATTATGCATTTTCTTCAGTCTTTTTCTTTTTAATTCATAAATCTTTGTTGAGCCCCTGCCTTGTTTCTGGGTCCACAGTGGTGAACACCCTCCCCTTCTGGAGCTCACTGTGTTCAGTGTCATTTTCCATCTCTGGAATTCCCTTTCTATCCCCTTCCTCTGTGCTGCCAAGTTCATTTGAGTAAGTCATGTTCTTCATAAATCTCTCTTCCTCATTTTGTTAGTCTTTCCACATCCACGTGTTTTTTGCTCTTTCTGTTTGTTTTATTTCTCTACTTGGAGTAGACCTTAATTTACAGGCACATTGTTTCTATATGAGGGTCTCTGGAGATTCTTCAGGTCTGGTTGCCCCTACTAAGTGCATTTCAATTTTTTTTCTTTTTGAGACAGAGTCTCACTCTGTCACCCAGCCTGGAGTGCAGTGGTGTGATCTCGGCTCACTGCAAACTCCATCACTTGGGTTCAGCGATTCTCATGCCTCAGCCTCCCAAGTAGCTGGGACTACAGGTGTGCACCACTATGCATGGCTAATTTTTGTATTTTTAGTAGAGACTGAGATTCACTATACTTAGCCAGGCCGATCTTGAACTCTTGACCTCAAATGATCTGCCTGCCTAGCCCTCCCAAAGTGCTGGAATTACAGGCTGAGCCACCTTGCCTGGCCTCAAAAGTTTTGAGGCTCAGATTACTGTGTGCAATTCCAGCTCCTTGTATTGTCAGCATCTAGATCAACACTTAGCTGTCAGTATGGGAAGAGGAAATGTATGACAGACTTCAACACCAGCAGGGCCCTTACTCCTTCCTAAAAGTTCCTCTCTATGACCTTTCTCAGCTTTTTATCCCATCCTTCCAACCCCAGATATTTTAAACCTTAAACTTTATTCATTTCCTGTAACTTGCCTCACTCTCTGCAGACAATCCCTTTTCTTGTTTCATGAAGAAATAAAAGCCAGAAGTGAGGGAAGTTACAACTCCCCTCTCTCAACTCCAACAAACTCCATCCTTGCTCTTTTTAAATCTTTCCTTCCAG